TGTGTGTGAGTGTTAGGTGAAGGTGTTGGGTGTGTGTGTGTCTGCTAGTGAGGTGTTGAGTGTGGGTGTTGGTGTGTGAGTGTTAGGTGTGTTAGGTGTGTGTGTCTGCTGCTAGTTAGTGTGTGTGTGAGTGTTGAGTGAGTGTTGGGTGTGTGTGAGGTGTTAGGTGGGTGTTAGTGTGTGTGTCTGCTGAGTGAGTGTTAGTGTGAGTGTTAGTGTGTGTGAGTGTTAGAGTGAGTGTTAGTGTGTGTCTGCTAGTGAGGTGTTAGGTGTGAGTGTTAGTGTGTGTGAGTGTTAGAGTGAGTGTTAGTGTGTGTGTCTGCTAGTGAATGTTAGTGTGAGTGTTAGAGTGAGTGTGAGTGTCTGTTAGTGAGTGTCAGTGAGTGTGTTACTGTGTGTGTCTTACTGAGTGTGTGTGTTAGTGAGTCTGTTTGATGTCTGTTAGTGAGTGTGTGTTTGTCAATGAGAGTGTATGTTTTGTAAGTGAGTGTGTATGTATGTCTGTCGCTGACTGTGTCTCTGTCAGTAAATGTGTGTGTCTGTTAGCTAGTGTGTATGCGTCTGTAAGTGTGTGTGTGTCTTCAGCACTTACCTTTCTCCAGCGCCGGACTCCCTTGGCGCTGGGGATCCCTCAGCCTCTCAGCTCCGAATGCGACCGCGCACGCATTCAAACCGCCCATAGGAAAGCATTACTCAATGCTTTCCTATGGACGTTCAGTGTGCTCCTCTAGCGGCTGTCAGTGAGACAGCCACTAGAGGCTGGATTAACCCTCAGTGAAACATAGCAGTTTCTCTGAAACTGCTATGTTTTCAGCTGCAGGGTTAAAACTAGAGGGACCTGACACCCAGACAACTTCATTGAGCTGATGTGATCTGGGTGTCTGTATAGTGCCAGGAAAACATACTCGTTTTCCTGGCACTATAATGCCCTGAGGGTGCCCCCACCCTCAGGGACCCCCTCCCGCCTAGCTCTGGAAAGGAGAAAAGGGGTAAAACTTACCTTTTTCCAGCGCTGGGCGGAGAGCTCTCCTCCTCCGATCCTCCTCTTCTCCTTCCCGTTGGCTGTATGCGCACGCGCGGCAAGAGCTGCGCGCGCATTCAGCCGGTCACATAGGAAAGCATTCATAATGCTTTCCTATGGACGCTAGCGTGCTCTCACTGTGAAAATCACAGTGAGAAGCACGCAAGCGCCTCTAGTGGCTGTCAATGAGACAGCCACTAGAGGATTAGGGGGAAGCTTAACCCATTCATAAACATAGCAGTTTCTCTGAAACTTCTATGTTTATGAAAAAATGGGTTAACCCTAGCTGGACCAGGCACCCAGACCACTTCATTAAGCTGAAGTGGTCTGGGTGCCTAGAGTGGTCCTTTAAGTGTGTGTGCATCTGCATGCACTGGCGTACATACTGCGGTCGCAGGGGTCGCAGCCCTGTAACCCCTGCGACCAGGTGCCCACCGCCATGTGTTGCGGCCCGGCCCGCGTGCGGAGGGAGGGGGGGAGGGGCCCACGGATCAATTTTCGCACCGGGGCCCCATGGGTCATGTGTACGCCACTGATTGCGGGACATGCACATTAGGACGAACCGGACCACCGGTTTCGACGCCGCCGACTGATTATTCACTGCGTGCACTACCGCCATATTGTCAGAGAAAAAGACCACCTTCCTGTCCCGCAGCCCTTCCCCCCATAGAGCCATCGCAACCACCAGCGGGAACAATTCCAGGAAGGCCAGGTTCCGCATAAGGGGGCTCTGCCCCCACGCCAGCGGCCACCTCTCCGCGCACCATTTCCCACCAAAGTACGCCCCGAAGCCCACACTACCTGACGCGTCAGTGAACAGCTCCAGTTCTGTCACCGACACCCCTTCCTGCTGAAAGAACACTGTCCCATTAAAGTCCCGCAAGAAGGTATCCCACACGGCAAGGTCGGCCTCATGGCGGACGATACCCGGATGAAATGGCGTGGGGATCGCACCCCCGCCGTAGCTGGCGACAGGCTGCGGCTAAAAACCCTACCCATCGGGATTACCCGGCAAGCGAAATTCAACATCCCGATCAACAACTGCAGCTGCCGCAGGGTGACTTTCCTCGCCTGCGCTACTGCTGCCACCGACCCTTTTAGCCCTTGCAGCTTTGCCAGCGGCAGCCGACATTCGCCCCGTACCGAGTCAATCTCCAGCCCCAGGAAACTAAGGCACACTGCCGGGCCTTCCGTTTTATCCGCTGCCAGCGGGACCCCGAAGCACCCAGCGACCCACTCAATAGTCCGCAGCAAACGCTGGCAAGCAGGAGTGCTTGCCGGCCCCACGCAGAAGAAGTCGTCCAAATAGTGCACCACTGATCCATTCCCTGCCTCCGCCCGTACCACCCATTCGAGGAAAGTGCTGAACTTCTCAAAGTAGGAGCACGAGATGGAACAGCCCATGGGGAGGCACAAGTCCACAAAGTATGCCCCTTCAAAGAAACACCCCCGCAGGTGGTGACATGCCGGGTGGACCGGAAGCAGCCGAAATGCTGCCTCAATGTCCACCTTTGCCATCAGCGCCCCGCGACCGGCCTTCTTAACCAGCTCGACCGCCCGGTCGAATGATGCATATGAGACCGAGCACAACTCTTTGTCGATATCATCATTCACCGACGCTCCCTTGGGGTAGGAGAGGTGGTGAATGAGCCTGAACTTCCCCGGCTCTTTCTTGGGTACCACCCCGAGCGGGGAAATCCTAAGGCCTTCCAACGGCGGTGCCGAGAACGGGCCCGCCATCCTACCCAATAAGACTTCCTTTTCTAATTTATCCCGCACCACCCCCGGGAACTCCGCCACCGACTTAAAGTTGCGCCGCACCCCAGATCCCCCCCTGTCCCGGAACGGGATAAAAAACCCTTGCCCAAAGCCCGCCCGTAGCAACTCGGCGTCTGCCCTGTTACCGTAGCGGCTTAGCCATGGCTCCATCGCGTCTAGCCTCACCGGGGTTAAGCCCCGGGGCAGAGGAGACCCCTCCTCCCCCTTCCCAACCGTAGCAGCGACTCCGGTATTTCCTGACTTCCCCGCAGCCGGAGCACTAGTGCTTAAAACGACAGGTGTTCCCCCATTTGCACTGCCCTTCGTTGAAGAGCCAGCATAAGCCCTTTTGCAGGGCGGCCGACGAGGCGGACTGCCCCTTTGCGCCGGCGTGTGCTGAAAGGGCTGCGCCTTCTGCGCCATCATCAATTTCATCCAGAGGGGCAGGTCCATTTGGTCCCATCTCATACCCGGATTGGCCGCCAAGCGCTGCCGAAACTGCTCATCATACCGCCACCACGCCAGCCCGCTGTAGGTGCGGTATGCCTCCCAAATTCCGTTTTAAATAGCAAAACAGGGAGGAGCACAATCCCGGCGATTTTTCACCTAGGACACTGGCCAGGACGCAGAACGCCCTTAGCCAGTTGCCAAAAGATTTCGGTATCTTACGATACCGCTTCTTTTTCTCCTCCTCCTCTTTTTTCTCGTCTTTCTTATCTTCCTCCTTGAGGTCTATAAACTCCTCTAAGGGGAGACGGGAAAAGATTTCACAGAATTCGCCCTTCCAGATCTTGTCTTTCACCTCCTGTTTGAGGTGCACCCCGAGCGGACCAGCGAACGACACGTATGCGTGCTGTCTGGCCGCATCAGGGACCCCCCGACCAGCCAACTCCGCCCGCTCACTCGCTGCGTCCGCCCTGCTGCAAGCCGCTCCCGAATCCCTGCTCGAACTCGGTTCTGCGGAGATAGCACCAGTGGCCCCTGTCCCCTGTGCCCACACCTGACCTACACCGCCACCCGTGTCACCCCCCGCTCCCAGCGAGTGGAGAAGTGTTTGTAGTGTGTGAATCAATGTACTGTATTGCAACGAGGCACAGGAGTCACCGGCCAAGCCCCCCGGTCTCCGAGCGCTGGGGGCTGCATTGTCCACCGTAATCCGTCCGGGAGGAGCGACCTCCGTTAACGCCCCGCCGACCGGGGAGCCAACCCGGTGCCCAGCTAACACAGAAGATGACCGGCTCCGAGACCTGTAACGAGGAGAAGATGTCCTGGGTAGGGTGTAACGATCCCCTGTCACCCTCTCACCCCGACCCGGGGAGCGCCTGCCCTTCACCAAAGCCTCCCGCCGTGTGGTGCCCGTAGTCCGTGCTCCAGAGGCCTGGACGGCCCTGCCCCGTGGGCTACGACTCCTTCCCCCCCCAGCGTTCGGTCCGCCCCCGCCGACCATGCCTGGGGGCCCTGACCCTGCTCCTGTCCGACCCCTCAGAGGTGGAACTGTCCTGTCTTGACCTACCCCTAGCTCCCTCAGCCCTCTGATACCTAACTGGGGATGGGCTAATGCTGCTAGACCCCGAGCTAGACCCCCCCATCCTGCCACTGCGCCCCAGCACCTGCCTGTCCACCCGGGCCAACCCCCCACCCCCACCTGGACGGGCTCCACAGCCTTCAACACCCCCTTCATCCAGCCTAGCCACTGCCTGATCAACTAACCCCCCTTCTCCCAGGGGCCCCGACTGCCCCACAGGCCCAGGCCCACCCCTAATCCCAGAGGGAGACCCCCTGTCTAATCTTGTTGCACTGAGGGACCCCTTAGGCACCCCTGACCTCTTCCCCCTCACTACCCGCCCCTTCTCCAGCACCACTGAACTACCCTGGGCACCTCCAACGACCCCCCTCCTTTCCCCTTGTAACCCTGAGCGGGGCCCCCTGCACTTGCCTGTCTGTCCTGGGACCTGCCGGACGGCTTCACGGTTCCGGCCCCGTCTGCTGCATCCGCTGACCTCCTGGGCGTCCTCCTGGGCCGCGGCCCCACGTGGTCCATCACTCCAGGGGGCCCGGCCGGTGCCGCGGGCCCCACTCCTGGCGCGACCCCCTCCGACCTGGGAGCCGGACCGCCGCTGTCATGGGCAGCCGCCCGCCGCGCAGCATGTCCCCAAGGCCCCGGAAGCGCGCTGGGAGGCGGGGCCTCGACCGCGCTCCTACCGGGCCTGCTGCGGCCTCCTCCCACCGCCATGCGCCCGCTGGCTCCAGCTTCACCGGGCCCCACGCCCGGGCTCAGCCTCCGCGGCGGCCTCCTGGCCCGCACCAGACGATCCTGTTCGCCCTCCTGGGCCGCCATTCCCGCCAGGGCCGGTCCGAGTTGGGCCCGCAACCAATCCGCTCCATGACCTCGCGCCACTGACCGGATCCCCTCCAGCAGCCTCTCCACTTCGTCCATGGCCCTGCAGAAACGACATGAAGGAAAAAAGGCCCTACCCAACCCAATCTGCACACACAGAAGTGCCCACAAACTTGGTCAGGTAGGAAATTAGAAGTGAGCTCACTTAAAATGGCTGCCTATTTAAATAGCCCAGCCTACTTACCCATAACTCCATACTTCCTTCCCTCCTCCTATGCCCGCCTCCTAACCCCTGTCAAGGCCCTTTTTCGCTTAGCTGTGCTTTGGCTACATGGGGCTACAATACTGGTCTGAGCCTTTCACTGTGTAAAGTCTGCATTGCCAATGTGATTGGAGCAAAAGCCTCTGTGGCTGCTGCAGAGACCTCTTTTTTATGCCTAACCAAACCAATATATGTGTTTCATCTGGCATCTCCTGGTAGCTTTTTGGCTAGAGAGTAATCAAAGTGAATTTCATGATTAAATTATCTATTGTTTTCACTTTTAATTGTCAACAGTCTCAGCATGATATTTATAGGATGAACACTAGAGGGCACGATTTCTTTATGAAACGTTCCACTACTGGAATT